TATCAGACTTGCCAGTGTTTAGCCACTTCTTCAGCTGACCGCCATGTCGATATGTCTAGTTTGCACTAAAAGAGAGGTTCACGACCAATCGGCAGAGGTCCGTTGATGGTTTGCCCAGTACACGGTTAAACCATTGTAATCGGTTATGTTGGGGATGTATGATTGTAGACCTGGAAATTTGAAACACTGGAAACACTTGAAACATCGGAATGTTGATCCTGCCAGGAGACTCTTAGGAGGCGTCGAAGACACCAACGGTCAAAGACTTCAAGCAATAGAATGTTTGCCTCTTTCACCGGCCATGTTTCGCAGGCATATACTTACCCCGGTCGGATGGATGCTCTGTATATTAAAAGCTTAGTACGCAAGCTGATGTCTGAGCGAGAACAGAGTCGTCTGACTAGCAGCCTAAATGCATTTCGAGCCTGCGCGATTCGGTTACTCATTTCTCTATTCAACTAAAGGTGCCCCTCTTTCTCCTCTGTCGTTGTCGCCTGCCTCCTCCCTCTTCTTCTTGCTCCTTCTCTCCTCTCTCGGCGACTTCCTTTATTGTTTACTTTGCTCAGGGATGTGGTCTAACTCCCGTCGGTGAATTTGTCTAACCGCTGCTATTTTATCTTGTAGGTAACCGTGTGGCAGTTTGCCGAGGAAAAGCCCGTGCTGAAAACGGTGGACGTGCCTATAGTGCAGGAGTTGCCTGGCTTTCGATGGAAGGGTCATGCTCCCCTCAAGGTAAAGTTGCTATCTAATTGCATCTATCTCTCCTTCCCCCCCCTCAATATCTGTTTTACATGACCTGAGTTGATAGAACTGAATCGGAATAAGTTCGCAGAGGTGATCGTTCCGGGATAGAAATCCGAGGACATAATGTTGCTCACCGGAATCGGTTTTGTTTATTGCTGATGTTTTGGAGAGTTTGACCGGTTCTCCATTGTCAAAGCATCGACTGCCACTATCGATCAGCGATTTGGATGCGGGAAGGAAGCTTACTAGGACACCCTCCATTGTGGGGACGAAGTGCAACACTATCGGCCGTCAAACTATGCAATCGTCCACAGGAGGGCCGAAGCAGCGAACGGACCGACGAGTTCTGTCAATGGCAGCGTCTAAAGATTTATCCTACCACCATGGGTATGGGTAGAGATTCTTGCCCTGGAGCTGAACTACAGCCCCTCCCATACCCACGGCACTCCAATGCTATGACAGTCAGGCCAAATGGATCTGAGAGTGGGCGTATTACCTGGCGTGGTGCGAAATTCGTCCACACATGCTACACACGTACTTGTTTACACTTGTGTGCGGCCCAGGTATTACAGATCCAACTATTAAATCCATAGCAGATTATTGCGAGATTGCAGTAGAAAAGAGCCATATTAGCCCATTTGCCAGTTTGGACAAGCAGGCTACCTCGCGTCAATTAGCCCGCGCCGGTAAACCCATGTCAACCCGTATTCTATGGTGGTC